CCAAACTTATTTTTGAAATTACACTTCCTCCATCCATCTCCTTTTCACTCCCTGTCCCATTTATCTACAATTTAGAATTTTTTTTTTTCCTGCTGTTTTCTACTGGTGTTCAAATTTGAAAAGCTAAGAGGCGTTCATGTGATTTACAGGGCCCAAAGCCAGGGTTTTCCTATTGAAGGATGGTTCACATTTAACCCAGAGGTATTACAAAAATAAAAGGGATAGGACACATGTCAAGAGGGTTAAGATTATACTCACACTTCCCTCTCTAACGTATAACTGTCAGTGTCTATGCAACAGACACTAAACTTGTCTGTGAACACAGCAGTGCCTTGAATGATCAAATCCCACTTTATTTCAGGTACGGAAAATGCCTCATTAGAGTCCAAGAATTATTTTTTCACTAGCTAAAATGTGATATTTCCCCTTAAGATTACTAGCCTCTAGATTAACAAGCTCCAGCACACAAACTTTTCTGTGTAGCAGACTAGTGCCGACTGCCACAAGTTCATATGGAAGACACCCAGTATACTGCTGGGGTGCTCAGCTGAAGTATGGGACATGGGGACACTTCATTTAAAAAAGCCATGTCAGATTTCCACACATTTTCTGAGGCTTACTGTTAGGGAATCAAGGAACCGATTTGAAAAAGGCTAAGAAACACAATTATGACTATCTCATTTTTTAAGAGCTTTAAGGCATTTTAAGGTAATAGCTACAAAATACACAGCTAATACAGCATATGTAAGGGAGAGACATGATGATGAAGACATTTTATCTGCACTCAGTAAGTGCTCTGGCAAGTAAAGAAACTCTGACCAAACCGATGCTAAAAGATCTTCACGGTAAACTGTGACTGGAGTTTAATACCTCTCTTCAAGTATCTCTCAAGATGGACCTTTTTTTTATAGCTATGTCATACAAAATCTCACCTGACCTTTATTTTTATGTTACTGAACACACTGCTTTCCATAGCAGAGTAATAGCTAAAACCAGTATCTATTTGCACTATACTCCCAAGTCTTCTGTATCTAGACGATACACGAGGGACACAGCTTGCTCCTGAGGGAGCAGGAGCCGCTCTCGGTGCCCGCATCATACTGTGCTTCCAGCTCCGAACCTCCCCTGGCGGAAGACGACAGCTTTGCAGGACCGTTTCAATGCTTTCATGGCTGGGTGAGGATCCACCTGACCCAACACGCTGCCTTCGCTGTGCAGACACACTCCAGAAAGGCCTCTTCAACCCTTCTAGACCTCAAAGGTTTAACACATTTGGTCTATTTTAAAATAAATAGTGAGAACAGACTGAGGTCCAACAATTAGACTACAGCAAGAATCAGATAAATGAAAGCACCAGCGCCTAGCATTTTAGCTGATGGATTTCTCCTGACAGGAGCATGGGAGACCTAAATGTCCTTTCCAAGGATGCCAGGCTTGGGAAACCCAAACCCTCGGACTGGCCACGCTCCACCAAATATGTCAGCTCATGATTTCACTGTATACAAACAGGCTCCTAAAGGGACACTCAAGATGAAAATACTCAGCAGGAGCTTTATTTCAGTCTCAATAGCACAGAAAGTCCCTGCTTGTATCAGTAAACAACTGCCACCTTCCAACCGATGAGATAAGCAACAGGCTATTTCAGCGCCTGCTCCCGGTGCAGAAGAAACACAATGATGGCCAAGGCGCCGCCAGAATCTTCCTTCCTCGATGACTCAGCCCCGGCGGAGCAGCACGGTGCTCCGAGGCTGGCACATGCTGCCAGCAGGCAGGCAGAGCAGCACAGCCGGCCCTGGCCTTGCCAAGGTGTCGCCAGGCCAGCCCAGGCACCCTGCAGCACCAGGGTGGGAGAACTGGAGCGACTGCACCAGCAAGTCCCTGCCCTGGAGCCAGTTAGCAAACCCGCAGCTACCCAGATTGATAGGCAAGATCTGGAAGTAGGGAGAGGGAGGGAGGAGATTGAGGAGGTCATGGAAAACCTGCGAGGCAAGCCGTGGCTGATAAACAGAAACTGCACGAACACACAAGGAAGAAAGACCAGAACTTGCAAAAAAGTAGAACATCTAAGAAAGAGGAAATGGACCAAGACTGTGTAAGAAAATATCACAGCACATGCTTTATTCCAGCTTCCAGGCACAATACAAATACCTAGTGTTGCCCTATGAGCAAAGGCTTCTCCAAAAATTTTTTTAAGCTCTAATTGAACTCAGCGCGTGTTTTTGAAAGCTTCCCAGAAATAGAGCAGAGTTACGAGGTATTTATAGCTTTTAAAGCCAGTCATGATTAATGTGAATCCCCAGCCTCCCAGCTTCAAACCACAACCTCCATTCCCATCTTTTCATTTTTTCTGAAGAGAGTTGAGGAACAAGAGGGGTTCCTAGTCGGACGAACAGGTGCCAGCCCTCTCCGCCAAGGCAGCAGCATCCTCGCTGCCCTCAGACACATCACATAACCTTTCAGTTCTCAGGGTGATATTGGCTTTTATCTTCATGATGTTTTAAAATACAGAAGCTATCAAACTAGAATCTAGATTTGTACAATAAGGTATGAATCTTGCTGTGATTAACCCATGAGCTCCTTGCAGATTGTGCAGTTACCCGCTCACCTCTGAAAGCCTGCAGAGGCAAGGGCACTTAGTTAAATTTAACTGGTCCTCTTTAAAGGTCACACCTTTAATTAATTTGCATCAACGTTCCAAATGGCAGGTCTAAATTACTATCTTTTTAAGCATTTATAAGCCAAATACAGATTCTCCCGGAAGCTTTTTACCCCAGGCTGCCTTGGTTAGTGGTTAGGCTCTGGGCTCACCTGGGGGGAGCACCCAGTAAAGGTTAATGGCACGTGACAGATATGACTTCATATTGCACTAGTATGAGGACCTACGTGAACACTGCTAACAAGTTTCAGGGAATAACTAGCCAGTTTAGCTGACAACATACATCAGTCCCCAAAGACTTCTATTGTACTTTCAGGCCGCACCTTCAGCTGTACTGTGCTTGCATATAGCGTTCCACCATGAATAGCTGCTGCTGTGTGTATGAAACAACAACCTACACAGCACCAGACAACAGGACCCCTCTCTGCTGGGGAGCGGAAGATCAAACTCCACGTTGGTTCCTAGTGCCTCATTGTCATGAAGTCACATAACGAAGCAAAGTTGCTGTGCTGGGCACCAGTTTCAGTCAAATCGCTGATTGTTGCAAAGAGGGATTAGAAAGTGGTGTTGGTCTAGCTTTATCTACCCAAGCTTTGCAAAGCACACAGAAAGCTTGCTGTCTCTACAAGATCCTAGCAGGCTAAGCCATTTCAAATGTTTTCCCAGTGATCTGGCACCAGCACGTCTAAAGAGCTGTAGGGCAACTCCATGTTGTACTGTGCAAACCAACGCAGCAGGTGGCACACGTACTTCAGAAAGCCTGTCCCCCAGCAGCTCTGCTGAGCCTCACAGCTTGCGCTTCACGGCCTGGCCAAAGTGACGAAGGCCATAAGCAACCTCATTACAAAAGCCTACTGTCCTCCATCAGAATGAGGACTTGGGCCCCCTGCATTTGTTATTTAAAGTTTAAAAAGCTCAGTTTAAGAATCCCGTTGATGTAGACTGCAGTGCCCTGAACAGCTGCAGAAGGGCAGCTGGTTAACTCTTCCCTCTGGAGCCTGGGGACAAGCCCTTGCTCCCAATATGTGATGGGGAGGACGCAAGACGTTCTGCTGGACAGCATGGGACAACCTGCTGAGAGCTCTCCCCCACCCAGCAAGGAAGGGGAAGGGAAAGCATTCCCTCAGCACCTCTCCATGGGTTGCTTTCCTCGGTGGGGAGGTGTGGGTAGCTTCAGGGTGGTGTAAGGAGCCGGCTGCCATACCGTACTGTCAGGCTGCCTCCCTGAAGCCACCGTCACCTCTCCCCTGTGACCTGATCAGGGACCAGCAATACTGCAGCAACTCCTCCACCTTTCCATTCCTTCCAGTGAGGGGAAGGCTGATGGAAACAGGGGTTACCCACTTCCAGAGACATGTGACCTCCATGACAACAGCACTACCAATATCTGACACTGAATTTAACTTCATTTCATTGAACCCTGCCACTGTGGGGCTATGCACAGAAGGGAAGGGGATATCCTAGTTTTGGGCACATGTGCAAGATCATGTCTTTTTGGAGAGCCCTAAGCAAGCTGGATACCTTTCTCTAGTAGATATGGATCTGAGCGTTGGAGGAGGCAGGGTCAGGATACTGTCCACATGTAGTTCCCTGTCTCCTGCCTTGACCCAAACCTTTGCAGGATTTTTCCAGGGCAAAGCCCTGTCTGGATAACAGTAACTGCATCAATGTACTCCTGGTCTTTTGGGACACCTTCCTAAACCTCTTTAGCTTGACTTTTTATCCTGAAAACACTATGAAATAACTTTTTTCCTTACTATTTCTTTCTTGTACGGAAAGGGCGATGAGCAACAAGATAACAATATTTACAAAAGACAGAGCTGGGAGGGTGAAATCCTGAGAAGACCGCAGAACTTCCCGTCTGAATCAGGCTGCTGGGAACAGCCTGCTGAGTAGTACTATCCAGGACTCTGGTGCTCTGCAACTCGCTTTTTAATTCTGAAACAAAGTACAAAAGTACATACCTGTACCGCTCCTCCTGCAGAGTCTGCATTATTAATGAGTAATCCCTCTGATAGCGAACCTTAAGGTCCTCAAATGATTCTTCCAGTCTTGCCTGTGTCTCTCGAATTTCTTGAATCTCATGCAGTATTGCATCAAACCCTGAGCTCTGCATATCCAGAGTGTTTGTTTTGGAGCTAGAAGCTCCCACAGGGCCCCCTGTTGTGCTGTTGGCTCCCACTGAGCCCGACGTGGCACTGGAGCAATCCTCTTCACTGCCATATTTTGGGCTTGACTGAAAGTTCTGAATAACACCTAGAGCCTTGCCTCCTGTCCCATCTTCCTGGCCTTCTTCTAAGGAGTCTTTCAGATTAGCAATATTGTCTGCACTCCCAAACTTGTTCCTTATGAGGGAGGCAATCTCCCGGGGTTTGGAAACCACAGCTCCTGCTGCTGAATGCGTGGCTTGGGAGAAACTGGAAAGCCCACCTTTTACACTGTCTACTACTCCCTCACTGAAGCCCGTGACTTTTGCTCCAACATCTTTCAAACCCTGATGCATATCCCTGAAGACATCCTTCGGCTGCCGAGGGATCCCATTCTGTTCAATCTCTCGGAGCTTTCGATGATAATGTTCTAGCTTCTTCTGCAGCTGCAAGATGGTCTGGGCTGACTTTTGATTTTTTTTCTCAAACACTTGCTTAATGCGGGCGCTCTGCTGCTTGTCTGCATTGTTGGCCAGTTTCAGGTACTCTGCCACATTGTCATCACGGGCTGTTTGTTCAATTTTGATCTGCTCGGTCAACTTCAGTATCTTCTGTTGCAGGTGTGTGATAGCCACTTTTGTACGCTGAGGATCTGGGGTTCCATCAACAGAGTCTGCATTGATGCTGCCATCAGTGCTCGAGGCCACTGCACTGGAGGTCTGTGCTAAGCTGCTGACTTCCAATCGCTCGATCTAGGCAAGGAGAGAGAGAAATATAAGCGCTAATCACCAGCTTTGCTAATAAAAAACCTTTCCTTTTTTGTGCCAACCAACTCGACAAGTGGATGTAATGCTGCAAAAATGCACCTTTTTTCAGCTGGCCAGAGTACAGTATCGATCAATTGAGCTTCATATGCTTTACAGACATCTAGTATAAGCTGAGAAAAAAGGAAAACCCCTCATACTTAAGCCAACTTAGTGGCCTCAAACAAGCAAAAACTCAAGCACAAAGCAAGACAGGGCACCCAAGTTTGGCAGGCTGAGTTCTCTTAAGTTTCGGTGTAAGGCCAGTAGCTCTATCAGCTGGCGAGTAAAAAGACAGAGAAAGTAACCGTGAAAGAGCAAAAGCCACACAGATCAAGGACAGAGCAAACCCAAGTTTGCATGAAAGCAAGCAATAATGAAACTTGCTAGAAAACAAAAGATCTACTAATGCCAGTGCTTAACAGAAATAAAGAGCCCTTCAGACCTCTGAAAACATGCCCTGCCTCGCTGTCAGGCCTGCAGCGCCTGTGTAAGCGATAAACCCTGCGAGCAGGTGCCTCCAAGCAGAAGGAAAACAGCAAGTTTCGAAGGACAAACCCCATTTTTAGCCAAAAAAAAAGAGTTAAATGCTATTTCGGCGCAAACGAACCACACGGAGTAACCAAAACGAACACCGACGTTTTCCCCCGGGCTGGGAGGAGGAAGGACCCGGCAGTTCAGCTGCACCGCGACACTCTCCTTCCTCGGGCCAGGTGCGCTTTTAACGCCCCGGGTCAGCAAGGGC